GATTTTCAGTACAAATCGGCAATTTCATACTTTAACCCCTATTATTTTGTCAATAATCCATGACAACAAAATCAAACAAATGCTACAAAACAAAAAACCAAGTGGCCAAGTACCGCTTATATTTTAACCCACAGATCTATAGCGTAATCCTAAGGTCTGTGTTTTAACCGAAATTTTTTTTAATAAAGCTGTATGGCCGGTTGCAAGACTATTAGGCCAATTTAACCAATCAGGAGGTCGTAGTTGTCATATTTGATATTTTAATTAGCAAAAATACGACGTTCTTTTTTTTGAACCTCATTATAGTTCTGTGTACAGAACTATCTAATACGCATTATCTGTGTACCGACCTATGAAATTTTTCAGTTCAATAGCGAGTACCATAGACAAAAGAATTTTGATTCAAAACTAAACTGATATAGCTTAAGAAATTATAATTGAAAGATTGAAGTACAGGAGCAGAAAAATATAATAACATGCATTAAGGGCAAGGAAGTATGCCATAGTTTTGTATAAAAATTTAGATGATCGAGGTATGAAAAGCGTATTTGTCTAGTCACCGTATAGCCATATAGAATACATATAGCATTAAACTTGAATGCAATGTTTTCATTATAACGTACACTGGGCGTTTACGTGATCATAGGAATATTATTGTTTGGGTCTGAATCAGTTCACATATGATGTACATTTTGATATGCGCGGGGCCTACTTTGGTGACCTTTCGACCTCTATTACTTCAGATCACATAAAATTATGCTATTTTTTTTTTTTAAATTAGTAGCAGTAGAGCTCCTTGTGAAAGAGTTACCTTATCTATTTCTGCCGCTAAGCACTAATGTCAGCATTACTGTGTGACGGTTTTGAAGGGTAAGGGTGCTGGTGAAATTACAGGCACATGGGACTTGTCAACTTATGTCTCAGGGTGACGATGACGGGCGCAGTGGCAGTGCCCCTCAGATTTTTGCGATTTAAAGCTCTGTGTGGCGCTGTAACTGTTGTGAACACGCGTGTAGCTTATCGTTAGGCGCACGCCTTGTTCGCTCCATCACTTGATATTAAAAAAATAATAATTGCAAAACCCTTTTTGGGCGTAGGCCATTCCATCCTTTACTACTTGTCCCTGATTGTAGCCATGGTTAATGTAAATTTGCAATTGAGCGTTAATGTAATATCATTTCCAGGTTCTCCAACGTGACGGTGACATTCTCCACGCGTTGCTGCGAAGAACAGCGCCCGCAGTCTACAGACATCTGATGAAACACAAAGTGGAGCCTGTGCTCTATGCTACCGAGTGGTTCCTGTGTGCGTTGACCCGTACTCTTCCCTGGGATAGCCTGTTGAGAGTTTGGGACTGCTTCCTTTGTGAAGGGGTTAAGGTACATATCGCCATAGCTTTTACAAAAATGTGTGACAACATTTAGGATTTTGTCCACGGCAACGGAAGAATGAGACGTGTTTAAACAGCCAATAGGGTATTGTCATTGAGATATTTTCTCATGCTTAGTTGAATATCGAAATATTATTGATTCGTTAAGTAATCGTTATAGATTTTTTTATATGAAAAAGTTAATGCGCATATGACCTCCATCTCTCTACAATGGACGAAGGAGCACGCCTAAATAATGCCTATTTACTCGCGCCTTGAAAAGACCTAAGTTATAGTGTTCAGGGAATAAGTTCGCTGGCAGGTATTTCCACTCGCAATGGAGTCCATAGCCGTGAAACGTGAAGTATAATAATAACTATTTTGTAAAAAAACTGATCTCAAAAGTTAGTGGAATTACATTTATTTGCTAAGTTTTATTGAAATCGGTTGCCGAAAAGTGTGCGAAACAGGATTCATGCCCAAGTTTGCAGTCCTTAAATTGAATATTTTCTTCAAATTTAAACGGGACCAATACGAGGTACCCTCTTTCCAACAAAAAAAAATCATCAAAATCGGCTCACAAATAAGTAATTCCGTAGCATAAAATAACCAATCTAATTGAGATCCTCCTCCCTTTTCAAGTCGGTTGATTAAAGTAATAGAGTACTCAAAAAACATCTTTATTGCCAGGTTCTATTCAAAGCAGCGTTAGTGATCTTAGCAGGTGCCCTAGGCTCTGCCAAAGTCCGTAAACGCGCGTCCGGCCTATGCGAGACACTAGAAGTACTACGACACCCGCCAGAGAGCATATTGACGGAGGATTATCTGATGTACCACATGCAGCGCCTTAACCTTACTGAGGAGGACTTTGAATTTGAGCACCAGAGGCAGACTGCGCGAAGACGGGCTATGGCTAATAGAAGGTGAGGTGGTCTTCGTCTTTTTTCAAATGTTGTAACAGTCTGTCTTTTTTGAAGATGGAATAAAATGACAGTTCATTGTGCAAAAATGTTGCCCGCTTGCACGCTTGCAAGCAGCTAGTGATTGCAGTCGATAAATATTCTATCGACTATCGACTGACTGTTGGTTACGCTTCTGAAATAGCCGAACTTTGAATCATCATTGGTCTATTATTCGTCCAACTGCTGGGGACGTATCCATTCGAATTGTTAGTTTTTGAAAATTCATGCATAAATTTAGAAGTATGTCTATCAAAAATATAAATAGGATTCAAATTATACATAATTGAAACTACGACGACGACTACGTTATTACAATGTGTATTACTAAAAATTGATTTCGATTCTAATAGACCAACTGTCAAAATAGGAATAAATAATATAATAACGCAACTAGTAATCATTAGAACGTCGTATCATTCACAACTCAATCGTTTTTGGCAAAATTTTAACTACTTTTTTTCTTGATATTTGGACATGATAGGTCGATGTTGAAGTGACGCAGTAAAAGCTGCAATGCAAGAATTTTCCGTTTAACACCTACTATTAAGTTGGAGAACAAAAGACTGGTACGGAATTAGTATGGAGCTTGGTACTTTATTCCCAGAAAATATTTAACCAGATTCAAAATTTTTAGCTAGATACATATAAGCTTGAAATAAAGAGTTTATCAAAATAATAAAAAAAAATATTGTGACCTGCATTTTTTTATTTATTGATTTAAAACAAGTGTGGTAAATATGTTAAATTAATTAATTACCAGTGACACTGCGATACTAAAAATGTCCAAAAAGCAGCAACACTTAAACGCTATAATATTCAAAATCTTAATTCTAATTGGCTAATTAATATGTTTTGTTGTTTTTTCCCCATTGTTTCCGTAAAGGAAAAGGCAAAGGTTTGACACCCTAAATCGTAACAAGAATGACATTAACATCTGATGATCTGTCAATTTTTTTTATGGCATTGGCACATTAGCCAAAAAGTTACATACAAATCCGTACCGTTTCATGGGAATGCGTTCCATTTCGTGGGATTGCATTCCGTTTTACTTTACATAGTATTAAAAATCCCTAACGATCTTCTGGAAATTGCAGGTCAAAAATAATTTGTTTTTAGTTCAGACTTTCTAGATTTTGAGAGCTCTTTACAAAAAACCAACTAATAGCCTGGTTAAATTTTCCATTTATTTTAGTACAACTAAAGGAACAACACCTTTCTCAGACAAACTAATAAGAATTGTATTATACGAGTATATACGGATATAAGTTAAAAAGTTCTATGTGCCTGTAATTACACCAGCACCTTCTTACCGTTCAAGACCGAAGCATTACACTTAAGATTCCTTTTCAGTGGCAGCTGATTCAGCGACTGCTCCTACAAGCGTTATTCGAAGAATAACGCTAGGGACATCTTCAACACGCTATAAGCGACTCTAAAGAACTGCGACTGATCAAACATTACGTGAAGTGATAGTGTACCATCGGTATACAAAGTGCAAGTGTGTTCTAATTTTGTTGGTAAGTGTATCTTATATATCTTTTGAAATTGTTAGGTTATGTTGCGATTGGGCGTCTATATATCGAGTCTGCCTTTCTGGATTAAATGCAACACTAGACAACCATTTATTTCAACTCCTGGTGAAAAAAATATTTACAAATAGTTTAATGTAATTTTTAAAGGCATGTAGTGAATGGCAAACCTTTGACTCCTGTATTGTGCCTAAGTGGATTTAAATTGCGAGATAAAGTTTGCCATTCAGCGTCCTACGTTATTGGATGTGGATAATCTAACAAAAAAATGTCATCTACCTGGTGTAGCTTATATACAGAATAATTAAGTACCAGTATTTTTGTCTCATTTTGGTACCAAATTAGGAATATCACACCAAACTTCCATATAAAAACAAGTCTGTTTAAAATATCTTTGCATGCATGAGTAGTTATTAGCTTTATTCTCGAATTTCCAGCACGATTACTATATGTATATCGTAATCGTATGTTTATTAAATATATTGCTAGTTGACTATCAAACATGTTGAGTCAACCTGTTGAATAAGTTTGTTAGTGAATAGACTGCGAGCTATTTGTGTTTGGTGCAATTAAACTAGAGTGCTAGAGTTTTTGTGAAGAAAATAAACAGTATTGCACTGCTCCAAAAGAGAAAGTATTAGGTGTGTGTATTATTATTATCTATACTAATAAAGTGTGGGCCATTCACTGTCCTAATTGTTAGGTGATATATTGTCTCGATACTATTACAAACCTATTACTGGAACTGTGAGTGCCCAGCTTTATATTCGTTAATCATAATTATTATCCCTTAATTTATTATTTTTTTTAATAAAACATTTTTTATAAATAAATAGCAATAAGTGAACTGTATTGAAAAATTGTAAAAAAAACACAAAATTCATAATATTATAACAATGTGATAAGTATCTGTAATTATTATAATTACATATCTTGTTTAGTATTGTAAATACAAATAAACATATTCAAATTATTGTAACTGCAAAAATGTTATAAAATTTTTTTGACTGTGACAAAACAGTACAATTAGTTTACTGTGGTATTGGTTTCACGAAAAACGTACAAGGCAGTTAGTTGTCATACAACTATAAAATCAGTATTTTTATGTAAAAAACATTAATTCCATTTTCATTCCTATTTAATTGTTAGATGATTTATAATTGATATCTCGCAGTAAGGCCCGTCATAGACTGCGCAACATTGTTTGACGACTTTTGCCCATCACCTAATCAATACATGTCAAATCACAATCCATTTCTTGCAGATTAAATTTAATTTGATTTTATATATTTTCCTTTGATTTCTTTCAATTAAGCACATGTTTATTTCTAAATTTTAACATTCGTATTAACAAATACGATTTGTCGTATAAGTATTTTGATAGATTGTGTATTTTCTTAGAGTTTATATATAAAATTAATTTTTGATACGACAACGGTGTTCTTCTTATTTGAGTGAAATTTTGTAGGCAGTCAGTTTGCATTAATTTTCATATCCAAGTAAAAATGCTCACCCACACTCACAATGCCTGTCTAAAAGATAATGTGTTTAGACAGAACGAAAACCTGTTGCAAAGAACAATCCCTAGAGCATCTTACTTGTTATTTTCGGGGAGTCTGCATAACGAATGAAAATCACCTTATTTTCACGATTTGCAGTGTAATTTACTTACCTATGAAATAAAGATATATTTGAATTTCGAATTTTGAGTTGGTAACGAAAAATCGCGTCGTTTGTGATGGGCTTTACATTTGAGGCAACGTCGCAACTATACGATGACGTTGCAATGACAGCGGCGAAGTTGCAACAATATTGTTCACTTCAACATGTTCCGTAATAATATCGATTATGTTACATGGCTCTTACAGTCTTCCCCTTCCACCCATAAAGTACAATACTAGATTGTGACAGATTGGTGTATTTTATTAATTCATAGTCTATAATAGAAAAAACTATTTTATGACAGTCTCAATTTTTTAAATAAAAACAAACAAATTACAGAGAAAAATATTATAGTAATATATATATAACATATAACACATATTTAAACTGATTGTTTTGTAAATTACTTACTTACGACTATGTTTATGCATAGTTCTGTTTAAATACCCTTTTCACTACTTGATTTGAAGTTCGAATGTAGGCTATGGCTTAGTTTATAAGTCCGTTACTGGTGCATAATGTTTTTCCTTCTTAATTTTATTATTTAAAATTTTATTTATAAATGTATGTTTTAATATTTAGAAAAGTATTTTACGAATTTTTCGTGCACATTTCTTTGATAAGGTATACTTTTACGAATTAGAAAAGTCGCGGTTACACAAAGTGGTTCCCAACTGCTACTTTGTCTTTACGAGATGCAGTTTAAATGTAGCTCGTGTAACTGCACCCTTAGGGTCAAGTCGCACCTATCGAAGGCTTAATAAATTTACAAATATTGGTAAAATATCGACCAATTACCATTAACTAACTTAATGTTTAAGGATAGGGTTAAAGTAAAATTTTGGACGTTCCCCAAAACGACAAGAAATGTGTGCCCAAAATTCTTGAGATGTCTGAATGATTTAAATAGATTTTACACTTTAAAATTTAGTAAAAATATGAATAGACATAACCCTATCCTGATTTTGAGTGTTGTGTGTCTGTTATATTGTTGTCGGCGAAATTTAAATCGATTTTGTATCTTGTTAATGTCGCTAGTTTCTCAAAAGTGTTAAGAGTAATTGCAATGTCTGAAAAACTAGTTTGAATAGATCTCTGTCACAGTGTCGCGTATACGGAAGGTCAGAGGTCTTTTCAACCTGGACAATGTAAAACGCATAATTGAATTTTCATATTTCCATATTCCGTCACATTCCGATCGTAAGACTTAATATTATTATCTAGAATTATTTGAAATTGTTGTAAATACCATTTTTTCCGTAGCCGTTCCATATTTACATTATTTGCGATTGATTGTATTAACGATTTTTTTTATGTTCATGCGTAGTGTTGTGTCGCTCGCTAAGGTAATTCTTTTTTAAATTTGTTTGGCGCTATGCCTGCCGATTTTTACTAACATTGGCCCAGCAAAAAAAAGACCTAATACTATATACATAAAGCTTAATTTTGTAAATTGGGCAGATGTCTTTTACAGCAGGCAGAGAAGACAGCCCTGGTAGCTTTGATATTCTGTCATTCAGGCTCAGTGTTACCGCTATTATCTGTAGTTTAAAAATGGCCATATAACAATTTGCCGCGAAAAAATGTCCGACTATTAAACTATTGAAGAAAAATTACAATGGCCAATTAGACAGACGCCTTAGCCTGTCCCAAAGGACGAAACGTTTTACTACTATCATTATCTGTCAAATGTTTGTGGTGGAAACGGCAACACAGACGGTGGCCGCGATCATTAGCTGGCTGAGCTCATCAATTTGGCTCAATGCGGTGGGAAAGTTTACATGATTTCAAATAATTTCATTGAAAGCATAAAAATGTTGCACTGCTCCAATATCAATATTGTATTTTTGTACAGCGGTCAAAATATCCAATAATTTCTGCAATATTAGTGTTGTAAATAAAAAATTATCTATAATGTTTCTTGTATTTTTATTACACTCAAAAACGTTTTATATCAGTGTTCAGAAGAAACTAAATTATCATGTTTTATGCCCGTGGTTCCACCCAGGTAGACATAGGTGACCTACGGGAAGAAATAATTTCCCATGATCCACCCAAATGGACCAGAGAGGTGGTCCACGGGCAAGAAGGGGTTTTTAGTCTCTAACCAAACAAAATATGTTTAACAAGTAGGTGTGAATAATGTACATACATGACATATATTTTGTTTGGTTAGTTTTATCATATCATTTATAACCCTGTCGACGTAAAGAGTTTAACTTTGAAGCCTTTATCTCTGTATCTGCGTGTTCGATTCGTAGACTGATTTTAAATCATAAGTCTTATTTAATAAGGAGGGTCCGTAGCTATTCAAAGATCATCAGCTATTCCCAGTTAGTGTAGGGATCTGTCATAAAATGAATTGAACTTCAGCTGTTTAAAGCTCTTTTCCCAGTAAATTCACTACGTCATTTCTCAAGTGTCAGCCATAAAAGGAATATTTTTTTACTTTCACTTATCCATTGGATTAGATTACCATTATCTTATACTATAAGAAAAGTGTCTATTTATTTCAACTAATATTGTAGATAGAGTTACAAGAATTGGAGAGGATGTGGGTTATATTTTTCTGTATCTAATGGAGCAATAAACATGTTTGATGTAACTCCACTTATGCTATTCTTCCATGAGGGGTGCGAATTATATTCTATATTAACATTACATAAAAATGAAAAAATCTTAAGTTCAATTAACAATGCAAAATACGCTTGAGAATAGTTTATTTATAAACGTAACTTATTTATTAGTGGCTTGTTCTGTCTTTCACAATTCCGCCTCTATAAACCGCTGGAATGCAAGGAGCGTACCTTTGATTTAGGCTCAACTCACACTGGCGCAGTGTCGAAGTGTCGCGTCGCGTCGTTTTTCAACTACAACGCAAGGCGACGCGCGACGACCTTCGACTTTAACCAAGGGTCGACGCGCGAAGGTGCGTGTAGTCGCGCGATTCCATATTTGCATAACACAAATTTTTACCCTAATAATGGGAAAATAGAGATGAATACGCTATATCCGGAAAACATGACGCGTCGTGATGCATCGACTGCGCCAGTGTGAGTAGAGCCTTATACAAAACCCGCGCCCGCCGCCGCTCTGTATACGGCCTAAGATGTGTTATTACGGGCTTACGAGAACTGGGAACTACTTCAAAATGAAACAAGAAGTAAGGTGAGTGTATAAATAATTGTAATTAAATACAAAATGTAATAATTACCGTTCTTAGGTACAACCTAATACGCCGTAGGACCGTTAAACGCTAGGTTAGGCAAGTCATTAAAATAAGTCCTAGGAGACATAAGAACATACGTTGAGCACCATTGTCTTTATTTTAATGTCCATATGCAAAGAAACAAAACCGGTCAAAAGCATTATCATGGATCCAAAAATTTGTATACGTTGAAATGGCTCCAGAAATACGTACAGTAGCTTCAATCCGGATGAGTGTAAATGTACTTGTACCTGAGTTATGCGGGCGCCAAAACTATATGTACATACTCGTTTCCGCTAATGACAGGCGTGTACGGGTCGAGATCAAAGCTACTGTACATAGATATTTCTGGAGGTTTGTTTACGAGCATGCTGACATATTTTTACTTCTGACAAACTGTACAGTTAACAGAACATCAGGCTATACAATTTTCTTCGAATATCGCCTCGAGTGCAACGAATGGGATCATCATAAATAAATTTTTGTGTATAGTTTCTTTTTTGAAGATGGAGTAAAATGACATGAGTGTTGCCCGCTTGCGAGCAGCTAGTGATTGCAGTCGATAAATATTCTATCGACTATCGATTGAATATTGGTCACACTTATGAATAAATAGTCGAGCTTGTTTCATTTGAATCACCCTCAACCATTATTTGGGTGAATAATGGTCGAGGATGATTATATTATGATTTATTAATTACTGAGCTCAGAACAAGTTCATTTGAATTGTAAA